ACCGCGAAGTTCCAGGCATCAGGATACCAGGTGGCTCAGAGGACGTGTATGCTGGATCTTGGTGTGAGGCAATTGGTCAAGAACTTCAAGAACAAGACAAAGGCGTTGGAGAGGCCGTCTGGTTCATCGAAGCTGTAAGCATAGAGTGAAGCGATGCTGCAATTCTATAAGATAGGTTGGAATGCATGAATACTTCGTCAGGTGTTGTTCCAGTCAGCTGACGCCAGGTGAATGCGGTGTGACGAATATGAGCACAGTGTAGCTGAACGGTATATGCCTACTCCAAGTCTATGGACCCCACCCACTGGATGAATCGCCAAATAGCCAAGGGCTAGATCACAACAGAAGGACCAACCTCAAGCTTCGCTTTCGTATCAGGGCGTCGAACGCTGACGTGTGAAGAACCATAGCAGAACGCGGTGACTACAGCGAAGGGTACTTATTGGCTCCTCCATTTAAGCAAATCCTCCTTCCTGAGTACTAGTCTATCTTGAAGTCTCAAGTGACTTAAAAGCCATAGCAGCATTTTCCCCATTCGCATCCCAGCCAACAAGTGACTTAGTCAGACAACGCTCACCGGGCTGAATTTGCCTCATCAATACCTACCTTGGCCATCTCATTGGAAACCAATCTACCAAGCTCTTGGGACAGTCTGACTATACAGAAGAGCAGCGTAAAAACGGCTTGAGATATGCTGACTCTCGGAATATCATGTTTCGCATAAAAAGACGAAAGGTTCGCTCGACTAAACATCCATCACCATACTTCAACACATTATTTCACAGACTACAACATCAATCACCATGAAGCTCACCTTTGTCCTCGCAACTCTCCTCGCCGCTGCCCTGGCCGCGCCTTCCCCAATTACAGAAAGCATTACTGCATGCCCATGCGAGCCGGTGTTCTGCCCCCTGGAGATAATTGCTGTTGGTTGCAGCCTTCCCTGCAGGAGAAAAGTACTGATCCACCATGTAGGAATGCAGATGTAAGCGATCCGCGGCGCAAGCGTGCTATGAGGCTGCTCTGGCTGAAGGAGTGATTTGCGAGAAACCTATGATTGTGAGTACCGTGGTGTTTTTGTTAAGTTGATAAAGGTACTGATGTGAGATGTAGGTTTGCCCTGGGGATTCGTAGATCCGGATGGATAGATTTGGGTTTGGCGGTTTGGGCTGAAGGTTGGTTGTGAGGTGACATGTTTGGTCTGAAGTAAGAAATATCCTGCCTGGTAGCTCCTTACCTACGACCGGAAGCGATCAGGATATTACAGCAGGCAGCCCATATGACAGCCTGAAGCTATACGCAGTATTGCTAGCTTTTCAACTAAACGGCGAAGTCTTGCATATCGCTTCAGGATGCACCTGATGCTTTTCCTCCGTGTTTCTTAACCTGCAGTACGAGATGTTTGAGTACTTTGATACATGTAAATGCATTCGGAAAGGGGAATTTTTACTTCACGTTTTGTGCGGCTTAAGAGAATGGAACAAAAGAAAAAGGCATCCAAAAGGGTGCACTGTCTCATCCCTGCTCGTGCTGGATATGTGGTTAAACTGAATGGAAAAGAACTCCGACGACCCACTTTACTATTCCGCCATGCTGGCGCGTCAGATGTCTTGCATAACGATTTCGGACTTGGCGGTTGTTTTACGGAAAATAAAAAGGAAATACAGTCTCTCTTCAATGTCCGGAATATTTTCGATCGAGAAGACTGCAATGATTATCTATCCCTCCCGCCGTCGAGTCAGGATGACGATCATCCGCGGTCCTGGTACACCTCACACTGGGGCAAATCGTCGGAGCCCTATGACTGAAACGTTAAAGATTGCGCACACTGCCCACAAGCTGGTACTGTGTTCTAGGGGTGATAATGTTTACCCAAGGAGCAATTTACTCTTCTCGGACGAGTGAGGCTGGAGGCTTACTTTTCGCCAGATAAAGTTTGCTCAGAAATGGCTCGTGCATGGCCAACATGGGTATCGCACGATGGAAATGTTTGAGTGCGTCATGGGTAGCCGGTGGGCGTCGAATGGAAGTTGCGACCATGTCCGCTGATTACAGTCCTGGAGGGGCGTAAAAGTCGTTACAGACGACTCGGTGCTCGTGAGATCAGCCGCAGCATCGTATTGCCGGCGATGGGTGACGGCGTGAAGGGCCGCATCTAGTGCGGTGTCAAACAGCACTTTGCGGACCGTCTCAAAACTGCCGACTTTTATTTAAAGGAGTTGAAGCAAGGACCTGATAAGATCTGGCAGACTTGCATCTTCGAATGCCCCTTTTCCACATACACGATTGCTTATCCGGGATGCATTCACATCTGTTAGGTGATCTAGTCGACTAGTCGGATGGTGGAATCGATCGCTGAATCGAATCCAGAGGCATGTGCTGGGGCTGCATGCGCCGAGCCCTAGAGAGAAATCAGGAAGGATGAACGCCTGAGGCTAGCCACTCAATGCATGTTGGGGACTTTTCCGAGTCTTCACCGACAACGGGCAAGCGTGATTCCCCGCATATGGTAGGCCAGGGTCAACGGTTCGCTGCTGATCGCTTCATGCCACGTCTTTTTGACGTCTCTTCACTGCCAATCTGCTGGACTGCCTTTGCTCCGAGCACCGATCTTGTGCCAACCACCAGATGTTCATGCACCCCCTTGCGCCTCCATGCGTGCTGGCTTTGCTGTACGCACGAAAGGATAGAGCCAACGCAGCGTCGACACTCGCACAGTGTGGGGAGCGGCAAACACCGCAGACACTAACGCCTGGTGCAATTTTCTTGGGGGCCTGCTCGGAGAAGGGCCCAGGTGGATCTCTCCGATCGTTGTCAAAAGGCGCAGCCAATTTGGTAAGACGGCAAAGGGCCTGTGCATCACGTGTAGTCGACGCGGCTTAGCAAGTCGGCTAGAGCAACCACACTCGTCTTGGTCTGGGGATATCCAATTCCGCTATCCATCCCGCTTGAGACCCGTTTGCCAGACATGGCACCCATCATGATTCAAACAAGCTGGGGTCCCCACATATCATAGGTAGCCTCTGACTAGGAAGCAGGACTGCATTGCCAGAATGTCGTTGCGGATCGCCAAAGAGGAAGTCCGTACATGAAGACGGGCAGAGTCGGCCAACGCGAGTCAATTTACCGCGGTATCTTGTACGCACACAAAGCAGCCGTAACAGCTGACGTCGGACGTTCTCAGAAAGCGGCCTTCGTCCGATGGCTTCCGAGAGAGACCGGCGCCCTGAACACTTGGCGCTACAGCAAGCGGCCATCCCGCATCTGGGGGACTGGGGTCAGTAGTGGGGAATGGCACGGCGGCGTCTTGAGCGTTGACGCACCAGGGTGAATGGCGGCTCGTAGGTGACCTAAGCACGCGACTAAACCCTGGCCTAGAATCCACTCCGAGAAATTGGAATCATACAAAGTCTTCGTGCTGCCCCGAACCCCTCGCGCGTGAGTGATCGCAACATTGACATTCCCTCCCTTTCTCAGCACTTTGTTTTGAGACATCGACCAAGATGTCTGATTACTCTGGCAGTCCCTCTGAAGACCATCAAATCGACTTTCAACAACCACCAAAACGAAAAGCTACCACAGCAGGACTGGACGGAAATCCAACAGGGCGTTCGGTCAAGAGGAGGGCTTCAAAGGCGTGCCAATGCTGTCGAGCGCGAAAAGTCCGGTGCAATGTCACCGAGCACGGTGCTCCCTGCACCAACTGCCGCTTGGACGAGGTTGATTGCATTGTGTCAGAAAGCAGGCGCAAAAAGTTAGTCCACTCCTTAGTGCAATCCCCGGGCCCCCCAACATCAATGCGACTTTTCGGATGGGAGCGACTATTCGACTGCGAATGTCGTCATGCGATTCGCTCGCTCGATCCCACCTTAGACTAGCCACTTGCAGCGCCTTCTCCTCACGCCTTCGGTTTCCAGCCCAGCCACAATTCCCGCCTCGAATACACCGCACATGGTAGAATTTGGCTAATCCCTACAGGAAATGGAGCAAAGATGACGAACAGACCGAATGCGCAACCACCACAACGACAGCTACGCGAAAGCTCGCTTCACGCGATGCCCTGGACAACATCCATAATTTGAAGTCTGCCACATCGCGAGGATCACATGAAGCAGAATCGCGGCGAGACGAGCATGTGCCTCACTCAATTTGTTAGTGGCTAGCGAACAGCTCTCTTGCTGAATTTGGAGTTAACCAATCCTAGATCAAAATCATGGACACCGCGTCAATTCTGTCAGCAACTTCTCCGATATGCAGCGACGACTTTCCATCACTTCGCAAATCAACGGCTTGCCCACTTTGCCCTTCACGCCTTTTGGGGAAAATCGAGCCCCATTCTTTGGCAACATGCAACAAAAGTCGCCCTCTGGCGATCTTCCACGATTCATCAAGCCCTTGCCCTCCAAGATTGGACCCGATGAGATATCGTACCTCGAAAAGAAGGGTGTACTGACTGTACCAAAGGGCACTCTGCGTAGTGAGATGCTTCGTGCTTATGTCGAGTTTGTGCATCCATACATGCCACTACTGGATCTACACGACTTTCTTAAGATGATTGACAAGCAAGATGGAAGTAACGGCAAAGTCAGCTTGATTCTGTTTCAGGCTGTCATGTTTGCTGGCTCATCATTCGTTGACATGCAGTACCTACACACCGCGGGTTACGCAACGCGTAAGGAGGCTCGCAAAGACTTCTTCCAGAAGACTAGAGTAAGTTTCCGACCCCTTTCCTCATTTCGGTCGATCTATATTCGGCCGAGATGATATTCATGGTTGATCGGACTCGCCGAGAAGTCCGACATTTCGTGCACATGCCAGGGTTGCACATGCCAAACATGTGAAAGAGCTTCTGCACGAAACCATGCTAGCACATTAGATCAGCGACGTTTCTGACGCACCGACAGATCCTTTACGATTTTGATTACGAGTCTGACCGCGTCTCGCTTGTCCAAGCTTTGCTGCTATTAACGTACTACTATGAGACCCCTGATGACCAAAAAGACACCTGGCACTGGATGGGAGTCGCTACTTCCGTTGCGCATACCATTGGATTACATCGCAATCCTGACAACACCAATCTAGACGTCAAGCGCGTCAAGTTGTGGAAGCGGATATGGTGGTCCACATACATGCGAGACCGCCTTATCGCACTCGGCATGAGACGACCAACGCGCATAAAGACTGAAGATTTCGACGTCCCTATGCTCACCATGGACGACTTCGAAATTTCAGCCATTCCAGATGATATTACATGCATTCCAGCCGACTGCCGTGTTGCGAGAGACACTGATACTCAACGTCAACTGGCTATTATGTGCATAGAGAAGGCACGGTTATGTCTGTGCATTTCACAGGTGCTGTCCAAGCAGTATTGCGTACTGAACAACAATCACGGCCTCCAAAATGATCGGACCACTATGATGCTGCTTCCCAAGAAGCTCGACCCCGAGACAAGCGAAGTAAAGGCTTGCGATGACGAGCTGCAGAAGTGGGTGTCTGAATTGCCAGACGAGGCTCAATATTCAGACAAGCCTAGCGGTGAGCCCACGATTGATGTTGCCAAATCGCTACTGCATTTGGTCTTCTTCACCACTTTGTCTGCATTGCATCGACCACAAGTCTTGCCAAACTCACAGGGTGGGCCAGCAAGTGCACCGACGAAAGTCAATGTTGAGTCTGATCTCCTCGATGTCTCTCGCCGCAATGTCCGTCGTGCAGCATCAGCCATTACCTCAATCGCCCATCGTCTCGATGCTGGTGGTCTAGTCAAATACCTACCTACGACAGGTGTTACGGTTCTCCTACCAGCCATCATTATCCACCTGCTCGACATCAAAGCTCCGGAAGAGGAAACACGCCGTATATCTCTCCGCGGTTTCTGCCAGTGCATGGCCGTTATGGGCAAACTGCGTGATATTTACGCCGCCGCCGATTACTCCGTAGCATTCCTCGAAGCAGCAATTCGCAAGGCAGGGATCCACGTTGCGCCAATGACCGCACAAGTCTCGCCCATACCAAAGCCATCGCCAGTCACAAGTGTCGAAGATCTGGTAGACGCCGGCCGACGCCTCGACCTCGTCAACGCGACTTCATCCGCAAGCACGAATCTCCAGCGCTCGACACTTACACCACCTCCAGACAGCGGCACAACCAACATGACAGCGCTCGAGAAACAGCCCAGCGACAACGTTACGGATGAAGAAGTTGCGCGCCGCCTAGAAACTTTCCTCGCCTCCACGCCCCCTGAATCAGACCATGAGCAAGTCTCCAGCATCACTATTTCCCAAGACGCGCCGTCTCAAAACATGGCCCCGACTTCTGCCGCGCCGCCTCCGGACGCTTTTCATAAGTGGATGACGCTGGAAATGACCCCGAATAACAGCCTCGAGTTTATCAACCACCACCAGGACGACCACACGCTGTTTTCGAGCCTACCGCTCAACAACGAATTTGACGACGGGGACTTTGACTCGCTGCTGAATCTGGATGCCGTGGGCGAGACGTTTACCTTTGATGATGCTGCGTTAGACGGCGGGCTGGGCGATCTTGATTGGATGGCAAACGGGGATCTGGGGATTTCAGTTGACGCATGAGGATGCAGTGGTTACGAATTTCCTTTTTTCTTTCTAGAGACTGCGCGGATACGGATACAGGAAAAGTGCATATTGGATTTGGGTCAGGATGATATATACCACGACGCATATGTAAGGCGTCCTCCTAATGACCTGGGAAAAGAAATGCGCGGATTAGAGTTTGAATTTGATCTTAATGACCCCTAAAAACTACAATGCTCACATGCGAAGCACTGTTTGTGGACACGCAATTCGAACAACACCATGCTTTGCCTGTAAAAAACTGTTTCTACACTTTTGCCTGCATCACCAAACTCCCAACCCATGCCTCCCCATAGCGGCCAAACTTCCCACCAAGCCCCCCCCCTCCGCCACACTATCTATCCCCCATGTCCAGGATCTACACGCCAATCTTCAACATTTCCATGTGCCGAGTGGCAAACGCTACAAGGGTCCAGCCAGCCCACCACAGTGGAGTCTCTCTCAAAGCGGGGACGAGGTGGGGTTGGCAAGGTGGGACTGGAACACAGCCATGAGCATTTGGATTTCTCTGGGGCGCTAGAAATGCGTATAGACGGAAGCTGGCATGCGCATTTCCACGCTTAGGCCCGATGATGTGTACAGGTCAGATGTGTGGTGTGTAGCTGTAATCATGTATGCATGCAGGTTGAGTTTGATGTGCCGAGATGCCGCTGCCGTACAGTAGTACATCTGATAATAGCTGCTCATGGGCTTTTGGTGCGTAAGGGCATCATACTTTCGTGTCGCTTGTGGGATGTTTGTGCTGTGGCTGCTATCTATCTACCACCAATTTTTATGAGGGTTTTCCTTGCATGGTTGAAATGCGCTCCATGTGGTATTAATAAAATAGTAAGAGATGAAAAAGAAGACAGGACAGAAAAACCACGCTCTATGCTGCCGATGTGAAGGGGATGACGAACCCTGACGCCTTTCCCATGAAACAATCTCTTGTTGAACCCCAGATTGATGATGTACACGCGGTATCCATGAGCGTGTTTTTTCTTTTCTCACTCCTCTTGTGCCCATCTCTTCTCCCTTTCGGTGGTCTTTTGTTCCTTCCATGCCCAGTATTCGCCTAGTCTGACTTCTGCGTAGCTCGCGTAGTCGAAGTCGATGAGGGAGATTTGTGCCTGGATCAGAGCCCAGATGCCCCAGTAGAAGCCAGGGACGCCCCTGAATTTGTCCACCTGTTCAAACAGCTCGTCCAAGTCCGACTCGTTGTATGTTCGGTTCTGGTGTGTGCTGAAGCTTCGCAGGTACTCGCGGAGGAAGGCACGGCGAGTTCTCCGTGTAGGCATCGCAGAGTAATCACAGTCAAAACCACCCCATTCGGCGAAGTGGTTGGCGATGTCGAAAGATGCCGGCGCAGGCGTGGCGTATTCGTAATCGATAAAGGTCACCGTTGCAGCGGTTTCTGATTCGTTCGATGCGCTCGACGCACTGGATCGGCGGGAGGGTGAAGCTGATGAAGCTGATGGTTCGATGATCACGTTGCCAGACAGCAGGTCGCAATGCGCGAATACGAACTGGTTCGCACCGCAGACGCCCGGAGTATCGACTAGTAGCTGTGTCAGGCTCTGGAGTTCGGTCATCAGTTGCTCTCGTCGGGTCGATTGCGCAGTGGTGCTTGTTGGAAGCGCAAGGATCCATTTCTGCATCGTGGTCCACACATTGGGAATGGGCTTCCCTGGTGTAAGTTGTGCCATGTCTACCAGTGAAGCACGTTTGTTGTGTGGTGATAGTTGTGAAGGTGCAGGGCACGTGCTGCTAATACTCGAAATAGGTAATGTTGCATGCCATTCTCCCAGCCTCTGAGCTACCCCTCGCCATACTTCTGGTCGACCCAGGTCGGCAGGTGCACACACTGTGCCTGAAACGTATTTGTAAAGGAGACCGTTCTCAAACCGAGCGTGGAGGGCGGGCGCGAGATTGTGACGGGCCAAGAGGCAGTGGGAGCGAGTCTCCTCTGTGCATGGATTAGACTTGGCGATTGGCTTCAGTCAGGAATGATACATACTCTCGCGGTCGATGAGCACATCGGTGCCCTTCCCGTATGCTCGGAGCAATATGGCATCCTCATCTATCGCCGCCTTTGAAAGGCCCGGGAGCTTGTTCACCGCTTTTAGGAGCTACCCATTGTTTAGCCAAATTCTCAAGACAACCCGTCTTCTGCAGAGCGCAGAGGCTTGCATACCGTGTTCGTGATGCCATCGGTAAAGCGAACGAACTCAATCGTGTCTTTGGAATCTTTCCATTCGGGTCGCAGTGCGAGAATAAGGTTGAGTGCTGAGTTGTGCGAGTCGGTGTTGTCGTAGTACTGAGGTATGTGCCGTAGCGAATCATATGGTGACTGAGCCTTACTCATGGTGGAACCTGCCAGAATGTCGTCAACACAAGGTGCGGATTTTGAAGTGGTGGCTTGCGGTCGCAAGACGAAGAAAGAATACCTCGGCGAACACAAGAGGCAGGAGGAGATGGTGGGCACCTACGCAACGTGGAAGGAGCGACTGTATATCAGCGCTGCCTATGAACAGAGGAGATATGTTTGTGTAACTTGTACAAAAGGTGCAGCAAAGAAGCGCAAACTGTCAGAGCAATCGCAAACGGGAGAGAGCGTGGGGACGAAATCAAGGGTATCAAGGGTCGCTGCACGCGACCACTTGGGCAAAGCGGCGCATACACCCCTGACCGCCTCCATGTCTAGAACTGTATTAAAGCTTGCCAATCATCTCAAAGACCCTGCAAGGGTGGGAGCCAATAGCATCCTTCGGCCAGATGACCTAAGTCAAGAGATGATCATCAGAGTCCGGTCCCAGGGGTTGGCAGCCAATCAGCTGAGTAACTTTAGTACATGCATTCCTTGCCGTTTGGTAGATTTAATACATTTCCTACAGACAGTCGCCCCCCAGGCACATGCACTTGGCCTCATAAGAAAGCCACAATGACGTCCAACGTTGACAGCCTCACGTGCCCAGGTAGTACTCCACAATCTACAATCGCTGCCGGCGATTCGCTCTCGCGGTTAGGTCGGATCCATACGTATTCTACGTGTTGTCAATTGTCACATGTCAGACGCACGTCGAGGTACTTGATGACGTTGCAGCGAACGAGTACTGCCTGAATGCTCAGTTGGGTGCCCGCGATGGTCAATAGTGGCGCAGTAAGACACGTATGTCAATCGACAGACGATGGCTTGCTCCATTGCCTGTAGACTTTGTATACTTTGCGTGTATGCACAACGCGATTGTGCCGCGTTACCGGGTAAAAGCGATGCGAGTACGATGCGTTATGTATCCGTCTATGTGCGGTTGAATGCAGTATTCCTACCAAACAGATTGTGACATATCAACACTGTACACCCAGTTTCCTAAGCGTATCTTTCCCGGTCGTGATTTTCATGCCAATTCTGTACAAATTTGGTTAGTAAATAGCTCATAGAAACAAAGAGAGCACGAACCTAGCATCTAAATCGAAGCCATCCCATTGCGTGACCTCCTGAAGCCAATCTCTGCACTTATTCAGAGTTTCCATGTGCTGCGCCGGTTGGCCATCCACATCAGCCTCTCTCCAGAGATTAGCAGCCATCTCATAGCGTGCACAAGGCGCGGTCCAGTTATCCTTCAAGTGGCCCTTGAACAGCAACTTATCCTGAGGAATGATTTCCTTCTCCAGGATCGCCTTGGCCTCTGTAGTTCTGTTCATGTTCCTATACGCAGACGCGCGGAGGACCGCCAGAATCGACTTCTCGTCCAGACCCTCCTTCTCCCAGTGCGGGTTGTCGGCAGACTCGCTCCATGCCAGGTTTTCGAGAGATGTCTCGAGATGGTGGTCCTTCATGCGCTTGGTGCCGTTCCAGAAGTAGATCATCTCTTCGATGGGAGAGACACCGATGGCATCAATCATGTCGCAGTTCCACTCCTTGGCTCGGGCCTCCCATTTCTGGAGCTTGCGGTTGACGAAAATGTCAAATGGCAGTTGGCGACCCATGAACCTCTTCTTGCCAATGTTTGGCAAGACGTTCTCAAAGAACTTCTTTGCTTCAGCTGCGTACTTTGTCGCAGCCTCTGGGTCGGTCGCCTTGTTTCGACGATAGAGTTCAACATAGGCGGCGCCGCAAATATACCAGTACAAGGCATGGCTCCAGTTGTTGAGTTCGACACACTTCTGGAAAGCGATTGCGGTGGCCTTGTAATCATGCATATACATGTTATCCAAACTGCTCTCGAACCAGCTGAGCGCCTCGAGTTGTCTCAATTGTGACTGTAACACATCAGTTTTGGCTCATGCAACTGGGCTACATGATACTAACCTGGCCCGCTTCTTCAATAATGAGGACAGCCTTCTCCAATTCGCAGTCTGCAGCTGTCATGCGCGACTCTTCGAGAAGCCAGAGATGGCTCTTCGGGTACCGCTCGCGCATCACGCGCAGCAGCGCCTTGCACCGCTCCTTGGGATATGATCCGTCACCAGAAGATGGGATAATGTCACAAATGCTTGTGAAGCCGTTCAAATAACCCATGAGCACGACACCAGCCATGGCACCATGTATATCGTGGAACTTGGTAGCTTGCCAAAGCATCTGCATACCACGCTCTCGGTCGCCCTTGAAGCCTACAATCTTCAGCAAAGAAGAGAATGCCGGGGGTACGAATGACAGAAGCAGCAGAAGCATGCCGAAGCAGAAGTTTGAACCTGCGAGAATGAATCTGTCCACGGGATGTTCGCTAAACGTTGAGATGTCCAACTCGGGATTATCGCTCATTGTGAGCTTCTCAAAGTCTTCTATGGTGTCTGGAACGGCGACGGTCGGGGTATCGTTTGAGGCGGGCAGGCCACTTGCTGAACTGGAGTTAAGATCAAGCTTTTTCTGCGAGTTGTCCAGCGCAATAGAGCCATCCTTGCCAGCAGGGACATTGATGTTTGCCATGTGTTCCCCTGGCGTCACGTTTCCGCTCTTGTCCTCAGCAGCATGCACGAAATCAAAGTCCTCAGTGTTGTCTCCGTTGCCTGCAGTCCTTTCTGTTGGAGCAGCAGTAGCTGGTAACACAGGCTCTGGAGTTTGCTTCAGACTCGCAGTTGAAGCATGGGCAGATGCACCAGTCTTCATCCCACTAGCCGACGTTTTCGAGCGCAAAGACCCCGTCTTTGAACCTGCCAATCCCGCCTTCTGCGAACTGCTAGAAGCAGCCGTATTGATACTACTTGTACTTTTTTGCTTCAAGAAGTTCTTCTCGTACTCCATTATGCCTTCCAGCGCCAGGTATGCCTTCCTCAGCTTGTAGAAACTCTTGATAGCCTCTGTCAAGCTCTCGTTCAAAAGCCCAACCACCGCGGCCATCAATTGTGCCTCTGCCTGGCATACTGCATATTCGGTTCCTGGAGGGTATATTGGCGAGTGGTAGGCATTGGTGTCTTTCGCGGCTCGCTTTTGCTGCTCGTAGGCGGTGCATTCGGCCTGGTATAGAGCGTCGGCGGCTACGACACATGTCAGCTTACAGCCCAACTATACAGATATTGTATGTGGTCGGACCTTGACGCATAGTTTCTTGTTCGAAACCCAGAGTTGCTCGCATGAACATGCACACGCCAGCCCCAAGCTGTCCTCGTAAGCTTCTCACATTCATATACTACAGCCAATTCGCATGCGAGGTATGCATACTTGATGAAAGGAAGAAGCGCCCTTGTTGAGATGAGCTTCAGCTGAATCGAGGTCATCATTCATGATGTACGTGACAGAGCTCATGGCATCCTCGACTATGCATCCCATCAGTGGCAACCAAGCAATATTTTCCTACCACACTCACTCTGGGCCAACTCATCCACAGTATCGAGGCTTTTTGTACTCGTCGGCGCTTTGGCCCTGAGCCATCCTCCGATTTTCAGCATCTTGTAGAGACAGTCCCTCAATGAGAGGTTGCAAGAGTGCAGGGAAGTGCGAACGGTGATGGAAGAAAGGAAGGACGAGAAAGTGCAATTGAAGAACACAGAATAGCACCAGTCCAACAGCCGGCGTGCGACGCGGCTCGAGCACCGGAGACACCAAGCGCTGCAACCCTTCCACAGCGGCCTACAGACTGCTTCGTCCGTTCGGAGTTAAAACCAAAGGTACGTCATCTACGCCTTGGGCTTATCATGGTAAATTGAAGCCACAGCAGCGCTGCGAGTCCGGAAAGTGTAAGAGCGAACCCTGGTCACTACATATCGGCCCTTGTATCCGATCTAAGATCTCTGCCACGATTCAAGGTACCCCGCTGTGCAGGTGTCGAGACAAGACAAGATGCGTGCGCACGTGATCACAACTCGACAGCCCGCGCTAAGACCATCGCCGCTCCCGCCGTGAGAGCCGCATCAGAGCTCCAAGCTCACCTTTACAAACACACACAACTCCACGACCCAACCTCTACTCCAAACCCACTCTTCCACGCCAAAACATACCCACGAACATCCAAACACACACGAACCGCGACGATGTCCGCTCAACCCCCCTCCAAACCCACCACCACTACCGCCGCCGCCGACTCCAAACCCACCCCGCAACCCACCGACGCAAAGAAACCCGCCGTCCTCGAAGAAGACGACGAGTTTGAAGACTTCCCCGTCGAGGACTGGACCGAGGAGGAGACGCAGATCCCCAACGGCAATGCGCATCTGTGGGAGGAGAGCTGGGATGACGATGATACGAATGAGGATTTTGCGGTGCAGTTGAGGTAAGTGAGGGAGGGGGATGAGAGTGGGATGGGATAGAAGCTAATTGTGTGACAGGGAGGAGTTGAAGAAGTTGGGGAAATGAGCGGAGTGAGGATGGCGAATTGAAGCGCACCAGGCACCGAGAAACCACACGCATGATGGACATGCGAGAGTTGGGCTTTGAGCCTGGGAATGCACAGGTTGAGAAGCAGTGATATTCCTGAGGCAGGGGACTATACAAGGCATAATGGGATGCAGTTCAGGCTCTATTGCGCTCTGACAAAGCTACTCTACACGAATCATAATTTCGAAGAAGTGCCTTTCTCCCACTAAGCTTCTACTCTGCTATTCGATATCCAAGTCTACTTACTTGACAGCGCAGACACACCAGGCAGGTCCTTGCCCTCGAGCAGCTCCAGCGATGCACCACCACCAGTTGAGACGTGGCTCAGCTTGTCCTCAACACCGTACTTGGCAGCGACAGTCGCGGTGTCACCTCCACCGATGATGACAATCTTGCCACTCTGCGCCGCCTCGACAGCAGCATCGAGCGTCTCCTTGGTGCCCTTTGCGAACTTCTCGAACTCAAACACACCAGCGGGTCCGTTCCAGAGGATCGTCTTCGCCTCGCTGATAGCATCCTTGTACAACTTGATTGACTTGTCTCCGCAGTCGAGACCCATCCAGCCATCTGGGATGCCGTCCTTGTCCTCCGCATAGCCTGTGTTGGCATCCTTGTCGAACTTGTCCGCAGTGATGTAATCCACGGGCAGAACAATCTTGACGTTGTTCTTCTTCGCCTTCTCCACGAGGTCCTTGACTGTCTTGCTGCCCGCCTCATCGAACAAGCTGTTGCCAATCTTGACGCCCTCGAGCGTCTTCTTGAATGTGAAGGACATGCCGCCGCAGATGATCAGGCTGTCGACTTTGCCGAGCAGGTTGTCGATGAGCTGGATCTTGTCGCTGACCTTGGCGCCGCCGAGGATGGCGAGGAAGGGGCGCTTGGGCTCCTCGAGAGCTTGCGCGAAGTAGTCGAGCTCCTTCTTGACGAGGAAGCCAGAGGCCTTTTGTGGGAGGTCTACGCCGACCATGGAGCTGTGTGCACGGTGGGCGGTGCCGAAAGCATCGTCTGAGCAGTTGTCAGCATAGACTCAATGAAACGGAAACATTGCAAAGACTCACTAATGTAGATATCACCAAGAGCAGTCAAGCCCTTCCTGAACTCATCCACCTTCGCCTTGTCAACCTTCTGCTTCTTGCCCTCATCATCCTTGTAGCTGCCCTCCTCCTCCGCGTGGAAGCGCAAGTTCTCCAACAGAATGATTTGTCCGTCACTAGCCTTGTTGACAGTCTCCTCGACCTGCTTGCCGACGCAGTCCTCGGTAAAGGTCACGCTTGTGCCCAGCAGCTTCTCGAGCTCGGGAACAACCGGCTTGAGACTGTACTTCGGGTTGGGCTTGCCGTCTGGCCGGCCGAGATGGCTCATGAGCACGACGGCTTTGGCGCCGTTATCGCGCGCATATTTGATCGTGGGGAGAGCACCGACAATACGCTGGTTGTTGGTGATCTTGCTTCCGTCAAGTGGGACATTGAAGTCGACCTATAGAGTAAAATGTTAGATTTTGAGAGCTGTGATGTGTTTGGAGAAGGATGATAGACGTACCCGAATGAGGACGCGCTTGCCCTTCAGGTCGACGTCCGCAATGGAGAGCTTGTTGGAGAGAGACATGCTGGAAGTGTCTTCGTGGTACTGTGATGGATGCGCGTCAGCTCTATGCTTACAGAAAGCTTGAGATGGTGATTGCAAGAGAATTTGAACAGCAGATGATGTCTGGACGATTGAACTGGGTTGCAATTACTTACTTCGATTGTCTGTGTATATGGGGAGAGAATTGCGTGGGACTGTTGGATGTTTGTTGTTGAGCCCACTATGTCATGGGAGCTCTGGCGGGGCAGTTGCGCGCGGCGGGGTGGGGTGAGACAATTTCTGGTACAGAGGCTTGAAGCTTCCTTATCGAATCACAAAAGCAAATAGCATGTCAAATCGCCGGATTGAGAAGAGATTAGTAAAAGCTAGACAGGCACAGAATGTTTCGAGCTCCGGCCCGCGTTTCGTCGTAGCCTTCTCCCGCGGCCGAGAGGGGTGCTCCAACATCGAGGCTCTCAGGCCCAAGTATATTCGGACCATGTAGCAGCTTGACATGCCTCGGTATCTCAGGATACGCACGCCATGTCAAGCTGTATCATATAGCATTCATCGGTAATCGGGATGCTAGTAGGATAAGGATAGCATTCTGTTAAGACCTAACGAGTGGACATATAGAGTACCATAACCCGCTTCAACAGACAAGATCAACTGACCTGTCGTCACACAAAAACCACGACGCCCAATTGCCAACCCAAAGTATTCAAGACCGAAGCGCGTGAAAAGAAGGGTACTCCGCAATGCCAAAACCGGAACCATGACCAAACCAGATACGCTCAAGGACCAGAAATGTACAAGGGAAATCGTATCACATGTCGAATCTAGGAAGTTGCTTCTTCGGCAGAGTTGGTGAGCGAAAGGTATGCTGTCCAAGCAATACCGACGGTCGAGACAAATGGCTGGGAGTATAGTCAGCAAGCGAACTCAAATCATGGATAAGCGAAAAAAAAAACGTACAATCTGGTACTGGATTGGCATGACGCGGAAGTTGACAATCTGCACCGCGGGCCAGACCAGCCAGTTGGCCTTGAGCGCCGGAACGTAAATGTCCTGGAACTTGCGCTGCACAGCGCGCTTTCCACCACCTTCCGCAACGGTCATGAATGTGAAGAAGCAAGCAAGACCAGCTGGCGCGAACAAAAACTGATCAAGAGCCACGCGCTTCAATGCGGGCAACCAGGTCGAAGTCTTACTCATCGGGAATGTCGAAGCCATGAACTTGAACCACCTGTGCTGGAGCGGAGACATGATGAAACCGTAGGACATGAATCGCACTGTTCGCTCGAAATCGAATGGCGGAGGGAGGCGCTTCGAGTCGGGGATCAGGTCCATGTCGTTGACGGGGTTCCGCCGGTCGAGTTCGTGGATTTCGATTGCGAGGAAGTCATCTTTGTCGAGGCCGCCCTTCTTGCGGACTGCGCGCTGTCGCACGGCGGTCAAAGTCTGGGCTACTGTGTCTGCGATGCCACCCAACACCTGCGTGTACTGTCAGCTACCGTTCCATATTCTGTGCGCATTTTGTCTGTGTAGTGCAGTATCTTTGCGATTGACTTCTCGGATAGCGGTAGGGCACGTGTGCGGATGATGCCCCGGTGGCAAGATTAGGTACGTACAGCGTTGGTGATCATCGTCGTGAGGACTGCGCATAGTCAGCAAAGCAAACATTTGGGAGAGCAAACTCGAGACTCACCGGGTCTTTGTGCATAGTAGCTGTTGTACTTGCGCGCGAGGAGAGAGACAGCAGCCATTTGCAGGAGGAAGACAGCAGCGTGGAGTAACGGCTGTTGAAAACTGCAGTGTTAGCGATTTCCCTCTACAAGAAAAAGCGGAGTCGCGCACAATCTTGCCGTAAATCCAGCGGCTGTTCAGTTGGTAGAGCACTCTGCGCCGTGTGCCGTCCATGGTGGTCGCGCTTCACAGACGTGGAAAATAGCGGATTTCTTAGAAGATCGTGATGACGTTGACCAGACGTAGTGGATCCGTGACCCCGTCGCACCCACACCGTACGTTGCAGACTCCGGCGGCGTCTTGGGAGGGGATATGGGGGTATGGCGATGTGAACGGCGTCGTTCGGATATGGTGGAAGGGTGCTGCAGCCGCCAGACAGTTGATGATGACGCGAGGGGAACTCGGCATTCATGAGCCTCGAGGCGCAGCAACGGGCCGCCGTCGCGCTCACCGACAAATCACGTTGCGATCCACGACGATCTGGTGCGACATGCCGTGAGGAGACATGGTGGAGTTGAAACTGCATCAAGCCATGGGACCCTGCATTTCGTCTGTCCTCAGGCCTGCAATGTTCGAGAAGGTTTGCGTTAGTGAAGCCTGCCACATCCACTTCGGTACTACAAATACTGCGCCATACAATCCAACTATGTGAAGTTTAGTTCGCAAACTACGTGATATATTACAGCACCCAGAATCCGACAGATACGCCTGATCGCACGTCCTTGCGAGTCATCTCACACACGCAAGAATGCAAAAAAAAAGTCCACGAGAATTCATTCCTCCTCATCCGGCCATTGATCCACCAACTCCCTCTCCCCCTTCCCCTGCACCAACTCCTCCAAATTCATCCTCACACTATACCTCAGATACTTCGTCTCATACTTCCTTGCATACCCGCCGCCCAAGCCTCCAATATCACTCTCGCCCTGCATCGGATGGTGATGCGCAAAGATGGGTGGCTGGGAAGTTATGCACACCCTCTCCTTCTTCGCCTCTCCGGGTACAGGCTTGGGGAAGTTTTTGCCCATGTCTGGGTCCTCGCCCGCGCACCAGCGCCCCATTTCAGCGTCGAAGATGCCGTTCCACCCTTTGACGGCGAACTGGTGCAGGAGACGCCGGGCGCCGCGCTGGGATACGGCGTAGCCTACGGTGCATAGTTCGCCGCCGGTTGATCTGTGGTAGATGCGCGTGTGGGGTGGATAGGCGGTTGCGAGCGCGTCTGGGCCGCCTTGGAAAGGGTGGGCTTTGAGATGTCTGCCCATGGGCACGGTGGGATCATTTGGCTGAGTCAAGATGAGGTTCGAGGAAGAGATTGGAGTGTGATGTTTAGCTGAATTCGACTGTACGTGGGGATTCCGAGGGAAGCCAGCACCGCAGTGTCCGATCCAGAGAATATCCCATGTCGATGGGTCACCATATGGTGATGTACTGCCTGAACTGCTATACTGTTGGCTGAGCTTCGACTCTTTATACACCGACGACAGCGGTATCGAAGGGAGTCTTTTCGGAAGGTTCTTAGTATCGATGATCTGGAAGGCCGATTCTTCTGTCTCAGTATTCGCTCGGTACTCCACACGACTTTGAAGGTTTGAGGATGTGGTGATTACATTCTGGCTTGATGATAAGACACGGGATGCCAGAGCGAAGCGCTGGAGGTTCTGGCGTACGCGGATGTCCCAATCGACATCATCCTCGAGTATGAAGGCTGTTGTCAGATTTTGTTCGACTACCCTATTCCAGGATTGTCTTAGCCAGGGTTGACCGTCTTGAAGGACTAGAATACCTTTGTAGGGCATTCATATGCGTTCTCCAGCTACCTCGAATGCCTGGAAGAAGCTTGAGGTTCTCTTCTGGTGGTGGGTAAGCGCTCTGCTTGATGCTCTCTCCAGTCACTCCGTCTACGAAGTCGACTTTGATGTTCGAAATCGCGGCCGAAAGGACCATGGCATCGCGACGGTCCGTCCGGAATGGTAGGTTGAGTACAAAGATCTTCTCGAACTGGGACCTTGTCAGTACGTTCACCGTCGACGATGACCCAAGTTCATATGGGTACCGCTAAGTGATTTTTGGTATATTGCTCGAAAGGACATGTGTAACCTTGTGTAGTTACGATTTATATCATGAGGAGTTGACCTACTCCCAACGTTGTATTCAGGATGTCCCTCAAGCTTTTATCTTTCAAGTATTCGAACGAATCCTCGGGGACAAGGACTACGTGTATCTGGAGGCTGAGCCACATCCACAAGGCAGCAAAGACCAGAAAAGTAGCCAGCAGCCTGGATCTCGACGAGTACCATGGCCTTCTTCTTTTGGCTGCCTCGAAGGTTGCGCCAGTCTTTGGGGACGTCAGTCCAAGAGTATCAATGGAAATCCGTCGCATGGCAATGGTTCGCAACAAGAGTGCAATGATCGAGAGAAACAAAACATGGAAGACAGGTATTTCATCCACAAGAGCAACCTCGTTAGAAATAAATCAACATACTATGCCTATCACCCGTGCAGCATCTTGGGCCATGCTCACACTGCACAGGAGCCAACCAGGCTAAATCAATATGCGTCCGCTACATGCACCCCACAGATATAGTGTCAGCATATTGCGCCCAACGATCTCGTGGCTAAAGCATGGAGGCGGCTGAAGATCAACAGACAAGCACGTGAGGCGTTGAAGGTCGCCCGACCTTGGAAGCATGCAGGTGTTAGTCATGGAAGTTGCGGCGTGATTCGGAAAGAAGCCGCGGACATGGCCAGGAAGACTGAGAAATGCAAGCTTATCGATAGGCTGGCGCATGGCCGGCACCAGGCGAGATGTCATCGCCTTCTCCGCGCTTCGGCGTAGATTTCTAAGACAGTGCTGGGAGTTGATGGTGCTGTTCTTTTCTTTCATGACCTTCCGGGTGTTTGCATTTCCTGATTGCTAAGTGTTCGATTTCATCTTTTCAAAGATATCTGCGCCGGACGCCATTGCGAAATTCACAGCTCGCCACCCCTCCTCCCCCACCGAAGCTCGCCATGAGCGCCATTCTCTCCGCAGACGACCTGAACGACTTTATATCGCCCGGTGTCGCGTGCATAAAGCCGATAGAGACGCTTCCAGCGAAGCCAGAGGACAGCAGTGTATGTCTTGTGAGGTTTCCGCTGTGGAGGAGCGCGTGCTGATAAATGCTAGAATCCATACGAAGTCACGACCGAAGATAAAGCCGCCGCGTCGCAACCGCCACCGCCCGCCTCGATATCCCTCACAGACTGCCTCGCCTGCTCAGGATGCGTCACGAGCGCAGAAGCAGTGCTGGTGTCTCTCCAGTCGCATAGCGAGGTGCTCACAACGCTCGACACATACCGGTCGTTACGCGCACCGTGGCAGACACAAAACGGGACGAACGGGACGAACGGGACGAACGGGACTACGAATGGACATAGCACAAATGGGACGACGACCAATGGTATCAACGGGCATAGCCATGAAGGAAAGCTGTTTGTCGCCAGCGTCTCTCCACAGTCGCGCGCAAGCATAGCCGCCGTCTTCAATGTGTCAGAGGCCGAGGCCGGGAACATGATCGCGCAGCTACTAAGCGGTCCGTCTGGTCTCAAGACTGGTGGTCACCAAGGAAGCGATTTCACATGGGTTCTCGACACCAACGTAGTACGTGAGGCATGTCTGGTTGCTGCCGCCGACGAGGTCGCGAATGCGCTTTCGCCAGAGACCTCGAATCCGTCCACGAAGCCTGGTTCTGAGGGCGCAATCGACACAACACCAAAGCAACCCATCCTCACATCAGCCTGTCCCGGCTGGATATGTTATGCCGAGAAGACGCATCCGTACATCTTACCACACCTCTCGCGACTGAAGTCACCTCAGGCGCTCACTGGCACACTCATCAAGTCGGTCTTGAGCCAGCAGTACAACATCCCCCCTTCACAAATATGGCATGTCGCTATCATGCCATGCTTCGATAAGAAGCTCGAAGCCAGTCGCAGCGAGCTTACTTCTTCCGCATGGCTACCCAACCACGATGCAACACAGGACCCCGTACGAGACGTCGACTGTGTAATCACAGCTCGCGAACTTCTCCACCTTGCTTCTGCGCGTGGCATCAACTTCGCCTCCCTCCCGCGAACACCGCTATCCGCTTCCGAACGAACACCCTTCCCGGATCCGAAGCTCGATGCCTTCCTCTTTCCTCACACGCGCCGGAAGAACCAAGATGTGGTTGCTGGGTCATCGGGCGGATATCTGTACCACATACTACAAACATACCAAGCGCAAAACCCAGGCTCGTCAATATCAGTGTCGCGGGGTCGGAACGCAGACGTAGTCGAATACTCGTTAGTGCGTGGCTCAGAGACCATTATCAGAGCAGCGCGCTTCTACGGCTTCCGCAATATCCAGAACCTGGTTCGACGACTCAAGCCCGCGAAAGCGAGTAGATTACCTGGCGGCAAGACCGGCGTGAGCCGGAAACCTGGCGCGGCGGCCGGCGGGGATGTGAAAGACTACGCCTATGTGGAAGTCATGGCGTGTCCAGGAGGTTGCACAAATGGAGGAGGACAAGTCAAGATTACCGAAGTCGAGGAGGTTCGGGCATACGAAGGTGTAGAAAGTACCAATGGAGACACTCTCGCACCAAAGCCCGGTCCAAAGGAGCAGAAGGAGTGGTTGGCCAAGGTTGACGAAGCCTACTTCTCTGGCTCAGATTCAGAGGAAGAAAAGGTCGACCAAGACGGCGACCAAAACATGCAAGATGCGACCACGAACGGCCACACAAGCGAACCCGACATCGTAAACGGGATATCAAGAAGAAAAATCAACGACGTTGTAGCACACTGGTCGCACCTCACAGGCGTAGACACACAGAAACTCCTCTACACATCCTACCGCAAAGTCGAAAGCGACGTCGGCAAGAAACAAAGTGACATGGAGCGCGTCGCCGGGCTTGCCGTTACTGTAGGAGGCGGATGGTAGACATGACATGAACTGGCATTGGCATATGATATAGACATTAGCATTTACACCCGGTACACATATGAAGCATGACCATGAATTGAAATCTCTTCATATAATAACCTCTCCATGCTTGCTTCTGCCCAACAATTCACCGTCACCACCAACAACGGCCCGTTCCCCCCCCCTCCTTCCTGCCCTCCCATCCATGTCCACATGCCGTGTAACATAACACCCAACGACCCAATACCCAACTAATCCCCACCCCGCCACACACACACAAGGATCATGCACACTCCACGCGCGCTTTGACAGCCGTTTGTGGCGGGTAGATCTTCGTTGTGGCGTGCGCGCCGGCGCCGGCGCCGCAGGGAAACAACGTGATAGCGAGTTTCACATTGCGCCGGGATGATGGCGGTGGGCAGGTGGGGTTGGCGATGAGTTTGTGAAATCAGGGTCTTACGTGTGTTGCAGGGTGGCGATATGGGGACACGTACGTTCTTCGAGAGGGGAGGTGGGATCAGGATCAGGATCAGGTAGCTTCCATGTCTTCACATATATACATATATACATATATTACCTCGGAGTGAGCACGGGACGAGCGAGGTGGGTACGCCTTTTTTTTGAAGACAGACTGTGTCCGCCCAAGGGCATCCAAATACGATTTCAGAATTCAAAACTATCTATGGTACACAGTGCGGGCGCGCCGTCCTCAGCCTAGGAGGGCCGGGCTTCGTCCAGAAGCCACCAGTCTGAGCGCCCGCGCACTGTTGAGTGAAGAAAGGATGTTGCTGGTCGATAACACGGACCGTATTAATATGAACTACAACAGAGCAGTCTGACTCGCACGCGAGTGTACGAGGGAAAACAAAGGATCTGGCGCAGGATCCACCCAGTCTATAGTACGTATTTGTAACATAGGAACACAAGGAAAAGAGATGTGGAACTGATATACGCAAGGAAAAGGAAGAAAAGGTGTTGCAGTTTGATCGCTCAAGCTAATTCTTACAAAAAAAACCCGGAAGATCCAAGATTCCATGCCATCCCAAGTTATCCAAGTGAAAACCCCAGTCCAGTCTTTTCGCGCGCGCCCGGATAACAAACAAGGATACATGAAAATAATATGTGCTTGGTAGTATGTGCTCGCCAAATGCTACAAATTGGGGGTATCCGCCAGCTGAAACCAAGAAGTAAGATGCTTTACACACAGACAAAGGAAAGGTTCGAGGAGCCAAAGCCCCTACGCGGTCTAAACGAGGTATCGGAAAACTGTAACACAAATGTGCCCGGGTATACCCAAACAATGCGGTGACCCGAGCTTTCTAGCACAATTTCCTCCTAACAGTCCGGCGATATCGCGGCCATGTGTTGAAATGCCGCCTAGATGATGAGATGTAATGAGATGGAGTGGTGTACAGAGCGAATGTGAAGATGATATATTGAAGCAACAGTGGAATGTATGTTGCGAGATGATCAAGTGATGGTGCGGAGGCGCTTTGCGTGACGCCAGAACACCATCCTCAGATACGCTGCTTTTGCGACGCGTGTGTGCGCCGTTGTGCCTTTGACTTGCGCACCGTTCCTGACGGTGATCGAAGGCTCAGTGTCATGTGTTCGTGACCGCTCGCCGAGATAATCGACGGCGAAACGGCAGTAGTGCTGATCAGGCGCGTTGATCTTATTACAATTATGTGATTGACGAAGATGCAGAGAAAACAGAAGCGAAATAAACGATTGTTTGGGTAATCACCGGTAGAGCGACTGAGTAGCCATTAGGCTTGCTGCCACGCTCGATGCCCAGTCTTGGCCATCATCGGGCGGCGTTGGCCATTTGGAAACGGTCTCGTTGGTGGAGTGGTTCTTCGAAATTTCCATAGGCCTGCTTGGTGTAACATGACTTTGCTGCCCGAATCCAACACTGTTGCGGTTGGCAGAGGACGATGGTGTCATGTATGAGGCAGCGGGTCCCGAATCAGTATTTGATCGGTGAACCTTTTGTTTGTCAAGCTTCTTTGATGCCTTGTGGGCTGATGCGAGAACCTCGCTGAGGAGCTCCTCTTCTTCGTTGGGAGTCTCGTAGCGATTCGATGGGTTCGACTTATTTTGTGTTGCTCGTCTAGTTCGACTAGAGATGGGTCCATTGACGCCATTCTCGGAGTGTCGTGGTTCAGGACCATGGGGAACGGAATGATGACGCTTGAGCATGGGATTTGTGGCAACACGAGCTCCCTTGGCTGCAGCGCTTGCTTCTACGCTGTCTCGTACGTGCTGCAAGGCCTTGTCCAAGTCTGAGAAGTCGTTGTTGTTGGAGGCGGCTCCATTCAGAGAAGCCTGGTCAATCATCGAAGACTGCCTAGGGTTTGCGCCAGCCCATGGTGCACACCCGGCATTGGCTTCGATATCGTCCGAGTTTGGCGACATGGGAGTCTGATACCTGCCTGATAGGCGACGAGCGCGCTTTCGAAGGTGAGAGAAGAAACCCTCCTTCTGTCCATTCGCTGGAGAAGTTGGGTTTGATTGGCCGTTCAACGCACGCTCTGCTTCTTGGCGATGGATGTCCGCGTAATGGTTACCGTGCGACGCCTGCGACAGTTGACGACCAATCTTCTTGGCAGCGTGGTCAGCACCTTCTGCAGCGCGCACATTCGCTTGCGCTGTTACCTCAGCTGACAACGGCGAGATTGGTCGTATGGACGGCAGAATAGGGATGGGCGCGCCATTTTGAGGCACACCATTTGTCCACGTGGCTCGCTTAGTTGCAGCAGGTCGGTTCTTGGGCGGCACTGGAGGGTTAGAAGAGCTCGCAGCAGGCGATGGCGCAGGCGATAATGGCTGAGTCGTTGTGTGCTGAGGAACCGCAGGAGCGCTCTCTCGAGCGACTAGTGATCGTCGAAGCCATGATGAAGTCTTCGAGCTGAGGCTCGGAGACGCGTCGGGTGAATCCTTGGTCGAGAGTTCGGAAGGTTTGCGGCCCAGCAATTTGGATGATGAAGACTTGAGGCGGAGCGGGTCGACTGCGTCCTGGAAGTACTCATGGGCCAGTGCCTGTGCTGATGTTGGCCTGGCACGCGGGTCCCAAAGTAGGCACCACGTGACAAACTGTGACAAGCTGGCAGGCCATTGCGGTGTTGGGAGAAGTGTATCCAGTGAATGAGGGGCCATCTTTGGGAAAGAGAAGCCCAGCTTCTGCGCCAACCTGACGCCATCTTTCCACTCTCCGCCACCAACGCGTTGACCGTACTTGTTGACCCAGCCGCCAGGGCTGCCCATGATTTCGCACACTCGCCATACCTGATCGACCTCGTTACCACGCGGGAAACAGAGGCTTGAGAGTTGCGATCTCAACATGCCATGGCACCAACGGCCCAAATGTCGACTGGTGCTGAGTACTGCCCGGCGCGAAGTAGTACCTCGGGCGCGCGGTACCATCGGGTTGAAACGTATGTTGTGTATGGCAGTTTGGAGTGAGTCTCTCTTGCGAGACCGAAATCGGCAATCTTAATGGTGTAGACCGGGGGTGTGGATGGTGGAGTCATCATCGCGGAGTACCGACGGAATGGATGCGATGTGTCATTGTGCTGTGATGTGGATACGAGGATGTTCTCTGGTTTGATGTCGCGATGGAAGAACTCGCGATCGTGGATATGTTGGAGTCCGGACATAATCTGGAACAGTATGCTCTTGACACTGTGTGCGTCCATAGGCTTGTGGTCACGGGCCTTCATCAGCTGGTACAGATTGCCGTCCATGTACTCCATCGCAATGTGAAGGCGGCGGCTGTACGGGTCAAGGAAGATGTCCAGGGCGGGTACGAGATGAGGGTGTGGCGGTAGTGACCGCAGGAAGATGACTTCCCGCAGTTCAAGACAACTCGAGAATGAGTCGAATGTCTTCTTCATTGTCTTGATGGCGACCTGTGACGCGTTAGGGGGACTCGAAGCCTTAGCGTGTGCGTAACGTTAAACATACAAGAGTACCACGTCTAGCAACGTGCGCACCTGCGGTGCGAACGCGAGCGAGGGCGACGCTGCCGAAGCTGCCATCGCCAATCTCTTTCATGACCTCATACCTCTCTTCAAGAGAGGCCCAGCCATGTGGCTGTACCTGCTGTGAGTCTGGCTGCATAATGATGATATCGAATGACTCCTCTATGAGAACATTCGATGTGTGAATTATATCTGGTGAGCAACTACTAGAGCGGTCAGCGTGAGTTGCTTGGGCGCATGGGTAGCAAGGTCTTACTGGTAGTGGTGGTGAAGGAAGATGTTCTTAGTTCATCTCATCCAATGGTCGAGGTGGACAGGCGGTAGTACAAGTGATATCAGGGTCGATGTCGAATCTTCCTGAGGGGGGAGGGGGGAGTCCAGTGCGTATCAAAGGTGTCTTCGATGCGATAGGAGCTGCAGTAGGGGTCCAGGTAGTTGCAGGTGCGGGAGTGTCGAAGAAATGAAAGAGCGACGGTTGGGAGAGGTCGTGGTCAAGCAGCCCAGGGCAACGGTAGGCGGGTAGTGCTCCGTAGCTCAGAGCGTTCTAGTGAGTATGAAAGAGGAGAGACTTTGTGATCATAGCTTGGGGTGGCTTAATGTCGGGCAGGGAGATTTGACCGTGCACAGAGGGTCCGGGGAGGAGGGATGTGGAACTGGATGGGAGGTGAGAGTCAAGGAGGGATAGGGTGGTCCAACGGATTGACAGGAGAGGTAGAGAGACGAGGCGGTCTAACGGGCGGCAGGTGTGATGGACGGACGAGCAGCAAGGCGAGCAAAAGACACTGGGTGCGGCAGTCTCCTGTGATTGATGGGGGCTCCCTTAGGAAGACAGTCAGGGTGCGGTAATGGGTCTTTGCACGAGTCGCAGGGCTAGGCCAAGGAGATTAGAGAGGAAGCGGCGCTCGGGGAGCGTTTGCGAGGCGTATTAATGAAGATCGCAGGGCCCAGAAGGGACAAGGTCGGCAGAGGGCCAGCAGATGGTCTGTTGCCGTGGTGAGGGAGAGCGGTCGCCAGCGTGGTGCGTTGGCAGGTGGAAGACGCGACCAGGTCAGTTAACGAGCGGGACAAGTGGGCGCAGATGGAGTTCCTCTGGGGCGGGACGTGAGTGCAGCGACAGCGGTGAAAGACACAACAGCATGGCGGCGCGACGCTTGGTTTTGGGACGCAAGAGTGAAAGTGGCGCGCTG